GGTATCATTTCCGACACGTGTCTCCCCTAACAGCCCTTTCTCACCGACAAACTCCTTCGAGGGTAAAATAGATTGTAAGAGTTGTATTGTTCAACGATATAAACGTATTGCATAAGTTCACAATAGTAAATCACGTTATTTCATCGATGTCTTGTACATGGACGACACAATTTGACATGACATAGTGTAATTTGAAAGTGAAGTTTGAATTTGCCACGCGAGGCCCGCGTGCATGGCCCGTCACTAGATGTTCGGTCACCAAATGTTAGGGTCACCATGCCCTGTTGTGACAGAACGGAGCAGACAGAGAGCATGGTGAGAACCAAGGTGAAAATGAAACGCCGGTGGACAGGAGTGAGAAAAGGCCGGGAGGTCGAAAAGGGACGAACCTCGGGCGGCGAATTCCACCCCCGCGCGCTGGCCGGTACTCTCGGGTATCTCAATTTGCCACCCCTGAGCATTGGACATTTTACGGTATCTAAATCCTCCAGGGATCACCGGCAATCGACATTTTTAGGTTATACTAATCGGCGTGGCAATATATTCGAGTCCCAGCTTTTTACCCCCTTTTTCCGCGCCGAATATCATGCTTTTTAATGCCATCCACAAAAAACATTTATTGCTGCACAGTTCTCCTTCATTTCAGGGGACCAAAACAGGGGGATGCAGATTGACGGGTACTCTTTGAGTTTTAGATAAAAGTATTTAGGCTGTGATCTCTCACCAGGATTTCGTATAAATTTTTGCCCCTGTCTAACTGGGCCCCTAGACCGGTGGTTTCGGTCTGCGTAAACCATACCTAGTGGTATCGGTATATCCGGCCTGAGCTCCCGAAGGAAACCGAAGGTCGGCAAATCTAACATTTGTTTAGTGCATGACCCCGTTCTATGTCGCGACTTTTAAGCCACACAAAGGTCGTCGCTCTGCGATGTTATGATTAACCCCGAATAGTAAAAATAAGGCGGTGTTGTCTTTTTTTTTTGAGAGTGAGGAGAGGTCTCCCCCCAGTCTGTTTTTACCGTTTGCCTCCGGGCAACGGCCCGTTGTAATCGGGCATGGACACGTACAGGGACGTTACACTCGTAGTCCACGCCACTTGGTCGGGGAGTGATCCCGCGTAAAGTGTGGGCGTCATGAAAAGGTTTTTTCCCAAGTACTCTGAATCAAGTAGCTTAGAAATCAAGACTTACTTGATGTCATGTCTAGCGTAAGTGCTGGCCTTATTCCAGGGACCCCCACCTAATCCGGTTTTTCGGCGACTGCAGTGAGAAGAAGAAGACGAACCCAAATGACCGTCCTGGCGTTTTGTTGAAGGTGCCGCATATGCGCGCGGTTTTGGGGCCGGCCTTCAGGGTCTGTAAACCCCTGACGAAGGCCATTTTAGCGGTCTTACGGCTGTGGAGGAGTAGAGGTGGCCGAGGGCTACAAAATAAAACACAACGGTTTTAATCATGAGAGACGCAAAACGCGACCCGATTTCGATTATTACGAATTACGCTCCTCATTATTTTACCACGAAGTGTGTGAAAAAAACTCAAAATGCCCCGCACCAAACGTTAGGCGGGTCGGTTAGTTCTTTATATCGGAGAAAATTTTGCCCCATTTTTTCCCAAGAGTAATGTTTAAAAACAAATCACGAGAAAACCACACTTGACGCTGTAAAGCCTTTGATATAACTTGATTTTCACCACGCTTTTCTGAGGCCACACTTGGCCGATACTGCAACCGTTCGAGGGTAGGTCGCCGAGGGGTGCCGGCTGCGAACGTCGAATGTGTCAAGTCTCGCCTTCGTCCGATCGAACGTCTCGTATCAGGTTTGCGGAGAAATTTCGAAGGGTGGTTTTTGTAGTATTCGGCGAAGTGGTATTCGCCTCATGAAACGGGTGAAATCAAGGCTATATCAAGGCTTTACAGCGCAAGTGTGACTTCTCAGCTCCTTAGATTCAGAGTACTTGTAAACACCCTTTTCATGACGCCACGCACTTTCGCGGATAACACGTGAGGATTAGTAGTCCCAAATTCTCGTGTCCGACCAATTTCGAGGGGGTCATTGCCGTGTAAGGTTCGACCTCCCGCGAAAAAGAGGTCGTCTTGGGTGAGGACGGTCGGAAACCGATCGTTAAGCTTTTAACACCGGCCTAAATTCTCATCAGGGTGGTCGCTGGTTACAAGTGGCCTCTACCTTTTGACATCCCGACATACCGTCGTTAGTGTCATCCGGTCGCGTCGATTTGGTGGAGTGTAGGCTCAAACTTTGAAAATGAGGAGACGTATGTGGTTTTAAATAGTAGAGGCGATGGCGTGTTGTTGTCCGCCGGATCAAAACGCGAAATTACAGCCCTCAAATGACATGTCTAGATGTCCCAATACACCGGTTATTCTGGTGCGGTTTCGTTGTTGTTGATTTTGGCGACAGCATAAGAGTGTGAGGGCAGTGCAAGAAGGGGCGATCGGAGTAGGCGGATCCGAAGGGCGCAGGGAGAAGGGGTCCTTGGAGGGGAAGGTCGGGGTTGGTTAGTCTTGTTTGTGAGAAGTGGGTTTTGTGGTTGTCGGTCCAGTGGTCTTTTCAGGTACGTTTGTCACCGTCAGTGACTGTGAGACTATTTTACATGTTGTCGAGCTTGTTGTTTTTGTGTAGTTTGTAGTTGTAATATGGTGGTTCACGGCAAATGTTATATATATTATAGGTCATGCATTATCATCAATGATACATTTAAATATTGTCATAAGGTTTGGCAGAGTTTTCTCGTATTTCTTCTGACTTGTTTGTATACTTGGTATACCAAGGAATCGTAATCACCGAACTGTTATTCACCCCGTTTTGTTTTGTAAACAACTTTTAAAAAAATTTATGTGCGCTCCATTTTGTCTTACGGCTAAATATATCAAGTACTATAATTTGTCAATTTACATTTTAAATCGTTTACGTTTATAATTCCATCCTATAGTCCAATAGCTTGTACTTTATCTTTCTCCGGGATTTTATACAGTGAGTATGTCTTTCTAAACTACTTGGATATCCGATCGACTTTGGTAGTTTTATGTCTCCTTCAACTTTATTATAGATTATTTATAAGTATTTTACATCATACATCGCACTGGATGCCCCTTGCTTTACCGAAAAATTAAAACACCTGCGGCTTATAGTCCAGTGCGGCTTATATATGTACACATCATTCAATTTAGCTGCTGCGGCTTATATTCAGGTGCGCCTTATAGTCCGAAAATTACGGTAAATATAATTGTTATTGTGCTTCTGTCTTTCTGTGTCTTTTCATCTGTAAACTCCCTCACCGCTCGCTCTCTTTTCTTGATCGCCCTCTCACGGAGAATAGTTCACTGCCCCGCTTCATTGTAGGATTTCTGCCATGTCTCTACTTCAGTTTAACAATCTCTGTTATTAAGTGATGGAATACTAGATAAATAAGTAATTAGATACCTTACCGTTACTGCGCTCATAAAGAATGATAAGAATAAGAATAATGCGTATTGAACTGGTTTCATTAATGAAATTAAGTGACAATTAAGTGAGTTTATTTAAGTTAATTAGTTAGAAGCCCTATTTTATCAGTATGTCTGCACAGCAGTTACAATGGTCAAACTACATTAAAACAGAATTGCCCCCATTCTTTCTTTAATAGTTACTAACATTAGATATTTTTTATGAGATATGGACCACAAAACAAAAGATATCCCTGGTTTCATTTAAAAAATCAAGTCACTGAATGCAAGTAGTTGCCTTGGCTTACTGTCACGGTTTTAAGTTTGTGCGTCTGGTAGGGGGTGTTTTTCTGTTCTCCTTGTCATGTTTTCCTCCCTGTATATTTTCTTGTCTTTTTTCCCTGTGTTTTCCTGTCTGTCGTTAGTTTTCCCTGGTGTGTCTAATTTCCCGATTGTTTTCACCTGT